AATAAATATGATTTTTGAGGTTGTCAGTAGTATAATAAATGTTCTAGAGTATAAATTTATTGATGATCTTTGAATCTGTGGCTTATGGATCAATTCTAAACTAGATCTGAAAATATATGTTGATTTATTGAGGTTTAGATGATTATTTGGGATGAGAAATGAATTATTATGGTTATAGGATTATGATTCTAAGCTAGAGACTTAATTTTTAATTTTTGGGTATTTTAGGTACGAATTTATAAAATAAAAAGAAAATTTTGATAATAGAAATTAATTTAGAAGTTGATTTTTAGATTATTAATATTTATTGATAATTAAAAGAGGAGTTAAAATTTTACTTAATAGTATTAACTATAGATTTGTATTAAGATTGAAATTAGGAATTATGTTATATTTTTAATTCTATTATTAGAATTATTTTATTAGTTTCAAAAATTGAAACTAATATTTATAAATAATATGTTATTTTGTAGATTGTATTACTGGTGAAGATTGTGGTGAGAGAGAAATTTTAAGGAATAATTTATTGAAAAAGCCACAAGGTAACCATGCTTTTAATTTATGATTTGTGTTACTTCATGTTAATTGGGTGATTATTGAGAAAATTATAAATTTTGTAATATTATATAATTGTGCAATATTATTATAAATTTATTTAATTATTGTGGGAGGTGTTGGGAGACTTGTTATTGTTGTTGTATTTATGTGCCACGTGGTACGCCCCTATTGGAGCTCAATAGGTGGCTTGTAAGGGCTCGGGCTAATTTACCTTTGGCCGGGTAATTTAGCACCGAGTGAGGGCTACGGCTCGAGGTTAATGGAGGGATATAAGGATGGTTGTTTGTGTGTATTGTAATATTTTATTTTTGTTGGAATTATATTATTTTTAATTCTCACTTAGGAAGCACACACTTAACTGTTTGTATACACTATCATAAATTGGCTTTGGTTACTGGGACTTTTGAGTCTTATTATGTGGTTAACAATTTTCAGGAGAAGAGCCACGAGTGACACGTGGAGGAATCCCAGAGGCTTAGTGGTATAGATCCACTGTCTCTTTTGGGTATTTAATTTATGATTTATAATGTGTTATATTGCCAATATTAGGGCTTTTTGTTTATTGTCAATTATATGAATATATAAATGTAATCATACCTTTCAAACTATTTCTATTTTTGGTACAATTTGGATGACTGTAATTGTAATATTTGGTTTACTTTGGATTGGTTAAAATGGCATGATTATAAGGCCAAATAATTGACTTGTGTTGAAAATTGACTAAATTACTTATTTTACTTATTGGGAGTATAAGGATGGACAAATGTGATTTAGTTTATTTGTTGGGAGTATAAAGATGGACAAATGTAATTTAGTCTAATGGCATGTGGGAGGTAAAAATTTATCTGAAATGCTATAGTATGTGAGTTGAAGCCAATTATAAAATATTTTATATTGAAATTATTGATATAAAAATGTGTTGGGTGGCTGTAACCCAACTATGGTTGAGTTAAATTATTTAAAAAAAAATTTTGGTGTGTTACACATTATGACTAGATGAAACTAATATGGCTCAGACTCTCTCTATGTCCTTTTTTGACAAAATAAAATTGATAATGGATCAATTGAAGTTTCTAAGACTCTGACCAAGACGAATGGATGAAGTAAGCTCAAAGATAAGCCTAGGAGTAGTAAAAAAGTTTCTTCTGCAATGGTAGATGCAGCAGCTTGATCCATTCTTTCTACACCATGGCAGATCATTTCAAGAAGCTGGTTGGCATGAGAGGAATGTAATCGGACAAATGTATGATCGTCTTCTCCATAGCTATCTAGATAAAAGTGGATCACCCACTTATACCTGTTGAACGAAAGTTGTCGTTTAGCAGATGGTTATAGGAGGGATAAATTGGTCATTTCATCAGAAAACATAATTACAAATGAGACCTTTGGGCCCTCAAAATAATTTCAAATTCTATTAGGCCTTGTCTGTAAAATTCTTACTTTTAAGGGCCTTTAGTGCCATTCCCCCTAAAAAGTTTTCTATTTTTTTAGATAGAACAAATAAGTTGCAAAAAAAAAAAGAAAAAATATAAAATATCTTCTAATTTGAATTAGAAGAATATAATATTATTTATAATAATAATTATTATTGAGAATATTAAGTTTAATTAAATCTTTTGAAGATTTATTTTGAAGTATGATATCTTTAGAAGAGTTCATAATTCAAAATAAATATCCTAAATAAAATAATAAAATTCTATTAAAGATATTGGTAGATGAAAATTAATATATATATATATATATATAATATACATAACTTTTCAAATTGATATCTTGCAAGAGGATAATTATCATATCTCTCTTTAGGTGGTAGAGAATGAATTTTATATATTTAATATAAAGTTTGTATATTAAATATTATTTAATTTACGTATGTAATTAAAGTTAAATTAAGGCTTTTCAAAGAGGCCAAAGAGCCCACCTTTATTTAGATAAGGAGGTTAGGCCTTTTAAGGAAAGAAAAACATTAAAGAATAACTTACAAAGAGGGAAAAACTTAATAGAAAAGTAGAAGGCATTTTTCACTAAAGTCACACAATGAACATACGTGTGACTTTTCAGATTGTAAGAAGTAGCTGTAGTTCAAGATAAGGTGCTAGTACACTATTCGTGTTCATTATTCTCATTTGTGTGGATAGCAATAGAGGGTGTTTGTTCAAAGAGTAACACTTGTGATCTGAGTTGTTAAACGAAGATTGGATCTCTCAATCAAATTGGTAAGTTCTATTTGTTTAATTCAATTTAAGCAAAATCAATAGATCCTTTTAGGGTTCTACAAATTTTTTTTTATTCTGCTGCATGGGTGCCCAAAATCCCAATAGAGTGTTCTTATACTAGAAATCATTTACGAACAATCACAAAACAACTCCTTTATTTGTTTATTTGCTCTTCTATTAATATTGTATCCCAAATGTCCTACATTCATCTATATACATTCTTGTCTCAACTAATCTAATTCCTTTCGAGTCAATATAAGACTTAAATTGCTTTTCTCATGTGCATAATGTCCACAGTTATTAAATCCACACAATGATATCATAAAAGACATATATTAGATACTAGCATAAATGTGTTCATGTATCAGGTAATTAAACTTCCTTTCACCCAATATCACTTTGATAATAAACAATTGCTTTTTTAGCACATTACCTTTATACAACATCTATTATAATTATATGATATATGTTAAATAACAAGCACTATAACTTATCTTTATAATATTGTGAAAGGCAAATGACATCAATAAAATGATTATTATAATAATGAAATAGGAATCTAGTCATTTGCTTTTCAATTACAATTCTCAAGTACATGTGGTATAAATTACATAGATACAATGTGTGTTACTCTTGTCTTGTAAGAGCGTATGTTAATTTATTTTTATCATTAATACTATATAAATCAATGTTGTGAAAACTGGACCAAACTGGACGGTCTGACGGTCACCCACTGAGTAAAGCAGTCTGGTTCAACCAATTGAGCTGTTTTAGCTGTTGGATCAGATTGAACCGGTCAGAACTGTCCATTTTTCATTGAACCAAAGTTGACCTGAAACCTAGAGACGGTTCAACATGGGTCAATCCAGGTCAGTTAAAAGATAAAAAATAATTTACTCGTACACGACGTCTCAGACTCTCAGTGTCAGACTCACACTCACACCTCACAGCTCAGTCACGTCTTCAGCTCAGACTCCTCACGTGTTGTCACCTTCACCTGTCTGTCTAATCCAAGACTCAGCACTCAGGAAAATAAAATTAAAAGATAAAGAAAGCATTCACAGTTTCGAACTCGTACCATCTCCAGACCAGAGCTACCCACACGGCCACACCACACCACAGAGACCCACACTGCCAGATGCCATAATGGAGCACGGAGTGATCTTGAGCACTCTCTGTCTGTCTTCTCCAAGTCTTGCCTTCCTTATCTCTCTCTCTCTCTCTCTCTTCTGAGTTCATTATAGTAGATAGAGTCACAAATGACTTGAGCTGAGATTGAGACCTTACTCTCGCTGTCTCGCGATCGTTGCTCGCCTGAGTCCTGACCTCTCACAATCACAGTCACAATCTCACTCTCACACCCTTAGATTAGAGCTTAGAGCCTCAAACTCGTCTCTCAAAGCCTCACCGTCTCTCTAGCCTATGGTCTCGGTGTCTTGCTCTCACCTGATCTGTCTCACACTCACAGTCTCAATCTCACACGATCACACCCTTAGCGCTCAGACTCGTCTCTTGAGTCTCGCCGTCTCACACAGTCGTACCTTTGGTCTCACTCTCACCTTTCTCTGTTTCTCATCTCCATTCTCCAGTCAACTAATCAAGGCATCAAGCCTTCAAATTTGAAATCTCACTCAAATCTCATATTGTACTTTGTTTTTGATTCGTCCTCCTCTCACATCTTGCTCGCCATTCTCAGCCCAGACCCAAATTGCCTCCAGCTCCTCCCAGGTCCTAGCTTCAGCTCGTGCCTCTACCTCTGCGTGATTCTCGTTTTGCTCTAGCTTCTTTGATTCTTGGTGTGCTCTGCTCTCTTTCCAGGTTCGATTTCTAGCTTCTATGTTCTATCTATGTATTTGAGTTTGTATAATGAGCAATATGTATATTGTTTATACGATTCGTCCAGCCATTTATCTATGTATGCTTGTTTGCTTTATTTTTTGTTGCTCTGTTATTTATTGATCTGGAATTCTGGATATGATTTAATTATTCTGAGTATCATCTAATTCCTAGCTCTGCTCTCCTTTTCACATTTTATCTGTGCTTTCAATGTAAATTTAGAAAATGTCATCTGAATAAATATCTAATGCTGCATCTACACAATCTATTAGAGCTAAGTCAGATCCTACATGGGAGCATTGTACTAAAATACCAAATGAAAAGGGTGGCAAACCTCGCTGAAGATGCCTATATTGTGGAAAGGAATTTGGTGGTGGTGGAATACACAGAATGAAACAACACCTTGCTGGGAAAAAAGGAGATGCAATTAGTTGTAAAAGTGTGCCACATGATGTTCGCTATCAATTGGATGAAAACTTGAAAGAAATTGATCAAAAGAGACCAACTAAGAAATTGAGAAAACAAGAAGAGGATAATCCATTGGAAGTAGATGATGGAATTGTGCAAGAAATAATTCCTCCAAGTTTATCTCAATCAGTAAAAAAAAAGGCATCTATAGCTGGAGATAAATTCTTTGCCCCAAGGACAAACTCGGGAGCATAGCTAGGAATTCGAAGTGCATTTGCAGGTAAAGAAGCTTGGTATAAAGCGGATTTAGCTGTGGTTAGGTGGTTGTATGATTGTTGCATTCCTATGAATGCTGTAAATTCTGTTTACTATCAGCCTATGATAGATGCTATTTCAGTTATTGGCCCTGGTTATAAAGGACCAACTTACCATGCCGTGAGAACCAAATTATTACAAGACATGAAAAAGGAGGTGCAATTATTGGTTGATGAATGTAGAAACTTTTGGGCTGAGATTGGATGTACAATAATGGCTGATGGTTGGCAGGATCAAAGAAATAGACAATTGATTAATTTTCTTGTTTACTGCCCTAGAGGAATGGTCTTCATTAGATCTATTGATGCATCGGATATTGTTAAGGATGCTCAAAATCTTTGCAACTTATTCATGGATATGGTTGCTTTTGTTGGTACAGATAATGTTGTCCACTTGGTAACTGATAATGCAGGTAATTATAAAGCTGCTGGAAGGTTATTAAATGATAAGTTTCCTTCTATTTTCTGGTCTCCTTGTGCTGCCTATTGCTTAAATTTAATTTTATCAGATATCGGTAAAATGGAGATTGTTAATAGCTTAGCAACACGTGCATCCATGGTTTCAAAATTCATTTACAACCATGTCTTTTTGCTAGCTTGGTTAAGGAAAAGAGAAGGTTGGACATAAATCATCCGCCCCGGAGCAACACGGTTTGCCACTACTTTTATTGCCTTGAAAAGTATCTATGAGCACAAGCATGATATTCAAGCTTTGATAACAAGCAAGACATTTGTAGAATCTAGATACTACAAGGATTTAAAGGCAAAGGATGTGACAATGATTGTATTAGACAATCAATTCTGGAATAATTGTAAAATTGTTGTTGAAATTGTAAAACCACTTGTGAAATTGTTAAGAATTGTTGATTCTGATGATCGGCCTTCACTTGGCTATGTGTATGATGGCATGTACAGAGCAAAAAGAGCTATAAAGAATACTTTTAAGCACAAAAAATCTCTGTACAAGCTTTACACAATTGTTATTAAGAGAAGGTGGGATTCTTAACTTCGACAAAATCTTCATGCAGCAGCATATCTCTTCAATCCTGCTTTCCTTTATGATAAGGAAAACTTTTCTAGAAAGCCAGAGGTTATGCAAGGATATCTTAATGTGATAGATAGAAAAATTTCTTCTAATAAGACCAAGTTTTTGTTAGAAGGCACACAATACCAAGAAAGGTGTCGGAGCTTTAGTCATCCATTGGCTTTAGAATTTGCAAAAACCATGCGACCTGGTAAACTTTATACTTTTATCTTTGATAGTTATTGTTTTTATCTTTAAAATAAATTCTAATAACTTACTTTTTCTCATGATAGATGAATGGTGGAAACATTTTGTGAGCAGCTATCCAAATGTTAAAGACTTGGTTGTTAAGATATTAGGCCAAACTATATCTTCCTTGGGCTGTGAAAGGAATTGGAATGTCTTTGAAAGAATACACTCCAAGAAAAGGAATAAGTTGGAGCATGAAAGATTGAATGATCTTGTCTATATTCATTATAATTTTCGATTAAGGAATAGATTAATTAGTCAAAATTTTTTTTCATTTCTAGCTATAAAAAATAAGTTATATGAATCCTTATACTTTGTTACTATCATGTGTTTTTATTAAAGTTGCTAACAAGAAGAAAGCTTTGGACCCTGTTGATTATGAAAGTATTGATAAGATTGAGTATTGGGTAATGGAAGAAGATGATTGTTCTTTACTCAATATTGATGAGATAGAACGAGATCTCATTTATGATGACACAGTGCTATCAAAAGCTATCGTTCATCAAGAGTATGAGGAAGGTTCGGTATTCTTTACTCAATGTTTTCACTTTTTTTATCACTTATCATGTGATTTTCATTAATTTGATTATATCCATTAAATGTTTGTTTGTGAAGATAATCAGCAAAGAGGCAACGTGGCAGATGGTGAAGCCATTGGTGGACTTGATTTACAATTATTTTCTCAAGAGGATGTTGATAGCTTTAGTAAAGATGTTGATGCTTTTGAGCCTGCCCATGCTTAGATCAACCAAGATCTCCCAATATTTGATAAGCTATGAAAATTTAAACTTATAATGTTGTGAACTTTGCAATGATATGTTTGAGATATATTTTAGATTTGTGGTATCTTTGTTTGAAACTTTGATCAATTAGAACATATTTGACACATATATTTTGGATTTATGATATCATTGTTTGAAATTTTGAGCAATTAGAATATGTTATGCAATGTGAATTTGTGGTGTTGCTTGATATATTATTGTCTTTTTTAGGTTAAATTAATGTCTTGTTTATAAATATATATAGATATATATACATATAAATATTATTTTTTATTTAAATTTTATGTCACCGGTTCGACTGCCGATCTAACTGGTTGAGTTGTGAGAACTGTGACCTGCTACTTTTTTCTGTTCAATGTTCGGTTCGAATTTCAAAACATTGATATAGATTTAAGTCTAGAGACATACAATAACTAAACTCAATTTTTTTTACTCATCTCACACAACATCAATCTCATTTATTGTCTTGGCTAAAAAATTATTGATTGAGAATCCATAATTCGATTCGATCAAGTGAAATTTTTTCTAACTTGCTCCACAAGCTCCGAGGCACGTTGTTCCTCCCGCTCATAAGGTACACAAACAGTATAGGTTCTGACATAGTCTGATCTTTTATTTCATCTACACTGTTCTTTTTCACGCGGTCATATACTTCAAAAAATGAAAAAAAATATATGGTTGCGTTTTTTTCGCGGGTCACTGTCGTGCTCTATAAAGTCTTTATGTAGGGACAGGGACGATGGAAAAGTTAAATGGGCACAGCAACACGGCTTTCATTTCACCGTTTGAAAAATTTAGAGTGAGAAAGGTTGAGAGAGGGGGGAGGAGGAGATCCTGTTGACGGACATAACTGTTTTGCCGAAGGAGTGTTTGTGCAAAATCGTTTCACGCACAACTCCGAAGGATGCATGCCGGACATCTGCTGTGTGTTGGACCCTGAAAGAATCTGCAGATTCCGATGACACGTGGGAAGCTTTTCTGCCGTCCGATTGGCAACACTTGGTGGCTCAATCGTCTACTCCCAACTTGACTTCTCTACCCAAGAAACAACTCTACCATCATCTTTCTGACCATCCACTCCTTTTGGCCGATCGCACCATGGTATGACCAGAGATCTCATTTTAATTAATTTACTCTGATTTTCACTTGCTTCATTTTGATCTGTCTTGCTCAAAAGCACCGAAGCACTACTGTACCGATGAAATTTTAATTTATTGATTCTCATAAAATTAGGAGAAAATAATATGCGTTTTCATCAATTTTAAATCAAGTCCATGTAATTTGTTTTGTTTTAATTTAAGTTCTTATAATTTAATCGATTAAATTTGTTAACCCTTAAATTTTAAAATTATTAATGGATAATTAACTTTTTCGAAACAAAAAATACTTTTTTTATAGAAACTTTGATTTAATAACTTTCTCAAAAAAATGTGAAAATATCTAAATGATTAAAATTTGATCGTTTTCATTCCTAGAGTAACGCTGGCCAAAAAAAAAAAAAATTACTAGAGCACCGAATCATTTTTTTTTTCTTTTGATTAAGTTATATATACTCATAAATAAATAATTCACCATTATATGAGACTTAACTATAATTAACCTTTTTCGATGGTACTAGAGTGCCATTCTCTGGTAGTGAAATAACAAAATAATTGATAGCATGTTCAGGGACGGAACCAGCGGAGAAATTAGGGGGCCAATTTTTTAATTCATATATATATATATATATATATATTGATTTTTTAGCAATCCTCCAAGATCATTTAAGGTTTTTTTAATTCTTTTATAATAATTTATTTTTTTAAATAATTTTGTAACTTAAAATTATCAGAGAATTAATTATACTTCCTCTCTTTAAAAATATAAGACATTTTTAATCGAATTTTACTTTAATAAAGTTGTTAACTACTTTCAAACTAACCATTTCTTTTCATATTTATGTCTATTAAATACTCTATAAAGTCATTATCAATATGAGTACTTTTTTTAAAAAAAATAATGATTACACTTTGAAAGTTTAAAAATGCCTTATATTTTTTAACATTCAACTTCTTAAAAAATGCTTTACATTTTTGAACGGAGGGAGTATATAATTATATTACACTTCAATTTTTTTAACAGATGTACATATTTTATATATTGATTTTTTTATAGAATTGCATATCTTTTTGTCCTAATCTTCAATGTGTCATGGATATAACAATGTATTTAAAATATGAAATTTTTATATATTATTTATATTTTAACTTGTAGTTAATATAATAGATATAAAAAATGTTCAATTTTCTTTTAAAAAAATATATTCTCAATTTTCATTATAATTAATGGATTTGTTCCATATATGAAATGGGACTAAAATTTACAAGTTAGTATCATTTTATTTTAGGAGTGAATCAACAACAACAACAACAATAAATACTTTGTCCTATCCTATAATGTTTATGCTATATATGTGCGTGTGTGTGTATAAAAATTATTTTTTTAAATAAATTGATTTTGGTTAAGAGAACTCTCCCCCGTGCCCTCATTATCTTGGGGGATAATCTCTGTTGTGGTCAGAACCTATTTCTTATGTTATAAAAAAAAATAAGTAGATAATTATATTGTTTATAAATTACTTTGTATAAAAGACATACAATTAATTACTCGTTTTTCAATGTTATTCTTTCAGAATCTCTTATAAATAGAGTAAGAAGCTATGTAGGAGAGAGAAAATGTTTTAAAGATGATACATTTAATTAAGAATAGTAAACATAAGAATTTATTTCTCTATTTTTTTTATAATACCAATAATTTAAATACATCTTCTTGATTCTAATAAAGTAATTACAAATCACTTGGAAGAAGTATGTGAAAACTATATATATACGTAGCATGTTGCAACACATCGATCATTGGGAAGGATAGTGCCATGTACCAGACTTTGTTAGGTACAAGGTGAGAGGGAGATGGTGGAATATCAAACTTTGTTAGGTACAAGGTGGTTCCACCACACTGAGCAGTTGTAGTATGCATGAATTTTTTAGTAATAGTAAAATAATAAATAATTGATGGCATGTGCAGGGACAAAACCTGTAATATATGACCTGACATTAGCAATAATCACTGCATAATCATAACATACAATGGTAATTAAGAGTCTTTAATTCTTCCTGAGCTTACTGCATTCGCAGAAGGATTAAATCAGATAATGTTTGAAATACAACTGAAAATCTTTGGGATTCTAAGAAAAATAGTACAAATATGTAGTTTAAGTTCAAACTTATTGATATTAAAAGTTATGGGACACATGGTAGACAAAAACAATTAAAACATAAGCGAACGAGGTCAAAATTATCATTTTAACACATTGTGACACATATCCGCGGTGCACATGCCTTATCATGATGACATTTTGCTGTCATGATAGCTTTTCAGGGCAAGCTTTTGATGTGCGCCATTTTTACATTCTAGATTCAATTGGAGTGATTCAAGTGTGCATGTAAAGCTTATTCGATAATTAGACTAATGGTATAAGTTTCATTCCAATTTGATATGATATGAGAATTTTAGACACCTGCATGCCATAAGTCAAATTTTAAAACGATTTTTAAACATCCAAGTCCCTAAGACTTAAAACTTATACTATTAAATCAAGTCACTTATACTATTAAATCAAGTCCAATGGACTGTTTATGCACCTGATTAAATAGTTAAATAGACAATAATATATCAAAACTAAGATTTAGCTACTCTATACCTCAAATTCACACAAACAGGGTCCTTACATAAAATTTTTCAAATTTTATCCTAGGCCAAATCTGTGCAACTTATAACATACAACCCACGTCATTTTACACAAACACCAATAGCTCACACTTATATCCGTATTTTAGCCTTTGCCACCAGTATCATAACAAAATTCACCTTGAGCTAAAATACCCAAAATTTACACAATATACAAGTGCAATACTATTATTCAAGCATTCATATCACACCTCACATGACACACAAATAATCACATCTTGCAATTATAATAAAAAATTAGCCTTTATCACAAGTGATGTAACAAATGTACACTATGGGTTAATTTTATCATATATTCTCATATAACTACATGCAAGACCCAGTTTCACCACGCCCATACAACACGCTCTTACATGTCATAGCATACAACTTGACAAGAGTGTCAAAATGTATCATGCATGCATAACTCAAATACATGAATTCCTATTTGGCAACCTTAGCTTTATATACATTGATATACAAAAACTCTAATAATGAAGGACATCGCACCAGTAGTCTAACTACTCCTTGTCCTGTTCTTTCCCTCGTCCTCCGTTCGTCTCAAAACCTAAAAAATATAAAACCACAGGGTGAGACAATGTCTCAATAACAAGAAAATCATATAATCTATTAACATGTACAATCATAAACAAGTAGTAGAATGGCATAATAAAAATGTGATATAATACAACATAATATATAGGCCTAGTATAAATTCATAACATATAACACAAATACCATATGCTTGATCCCATTTCCAACCAAACCTTTATGTCTCCCTGACTGAATCCGTAGGTTATCACATAAGATCAATTCTTAGTGAAATTGTCCTAAGTTCACCTTCAATGGAGGGAACAAATTCACCGAACACTTTTAGGTTAATTTAGAACCTCACCGATCCACTGAACCTCTTCAGTGAATACGAAGCCAAGATAAGCTGTACCGGGTGTCCCAGCTGGCAGCATAACCATATGGATTTTTATTACGTCTTCAACTAGGGTGAACTTCAACCCTTATTCGATCACGCAATTTTCCCCAATGCAACTCTTTGCATTTTTTTCTACATAATCAATATAAATCTCACATATCCAATGCTAACCAAATTTGCCTTATTTATTTAGTTCGATAAATCTATTTTCAAAAACATTTTATCAAACCTTAGCATACCAATCCAATTATGAGCAATTTTTGTCATAAAATCCTTAGCACACTCTACTAATTTCTAAAAGCAATTATTACATTTGTAAATAAATATTTTTTGCAAATAACTATACAAGTCGATAAACTATATGATTCACTAGTTACCTCAACTGGTTTTTACCGAAAGGTTTACCTGTAGATCAAACGTAAACTCCGACGTTACTATAGCCTTGGAATCACTCCAAGATATCAAAATATGTAATTAGAAGTACTATATATCAATTCATTAATTTAACACAAGTGACCACTCGTTAAATTAACTTAATTTAGCTACTCAACAATTCAAATCTCTGCCATTGAGCTAGTCAAAGCTTTTACACCCTCATATTATCTTAATTTATCATATACAAGGTTAATTCATACTTAATTTCAGCTCACACAACTCTAACAGTCCTAAATTCACCTAGGGTTCATCCAAAACCCAATGCCCCGGCACTTATAAGCTTCAAATTAACACTTATTGAACTCAAAGAAGCTTAAATCAAACTCTCACAATTACATGCAAGGCCTAGAGTTTGAGTATAATCCCCCTCCAACTTAGAACACAACCACCCTTTCTCTAGAATTCAAGAAAACCAAGGTGAATAGATAGAGAAAATTGTTAGGAAGCTTACTTCAATGATTGGAGGTCCAAACAAACCTCTAACCTTGCCCAAATCAAAGCCCTAATAGAGCCTTCATCTTCCTCCTATGTGCCCTAAGCTTTCCCTACCTTTTCCTTTCTTTTTTTTTTTGATCATTTTCACCTCTTTATTCGGAGTCTGTGCCAGGTGCCATGGCATGTGATGCAGGGAGCAAAAGTGCCCCCCCCATTCAGACTTGGTTTGATCCAACTTTTACCCTAGCTTGATCTTGAGGCTATTTGTAACACTTGCTCCAAGTGTTATTCAAAAATCACCCAAGTTAAATAAACTAAGTGTGGCTAAGGAGTTGACCCTAAAACCAACTTGGAAAGCAAATCATTTAAATCACCAAATAATCTACACAATAGCAAAGTGCACATTTTAATTAATTTTTTTTAGAAAAGTCTGAAGAATTACAGTATAGTGCATAGAAGCAAATTAGGCAAATAGAAGCATTTCATTGCTGTCATGACAGCCCTCGTTGACAAACTCCTGGGAGGTGCCGATTCATCGTTTGACTTCCGATTGAAATGATTTTAAAGCTCACATATTATTTTTAATGTGTATTAATAGTGTTCCAAATTTTAAAAAGATTCAATGGTTGGATTAAAATTTGGACACGTTATAAATTTGGACATTTTTGCGCTGTCATGATTGCACCTCTAGACTAACTTTTGGAGTACACTATTTCATCATCCGACCTTTGATCAGAGTGATTCTAGAGCTCACTTGTCACTTTCAAAGAGTACTACTAGTGTACCAAATTTTAAAAAGATCTAACGGACGGATTAAAATTTATGTGTGTTCCAATATCAACACTGTTACTGTCATGATAGCAATTTAATGCTGTCATGACAGCACTTCCAGACCAAATTCTAAAATGCATCGTTTTTCCATCCGGTGTCCAATCAACGTAAATCTTGAGCAGTCAAAGCTAACTCCTTCCCAGAGCCAACCCGACTTACTCTTCATGTGAGGGTTATCTTGGCTTAGGCACTCAACCTCATACTTCATATGCCGGATTTCATCTCCCACTGAGAGGTGTCGAACACTCAATCCACTAACTACTTTAGTGTATTGAGCTCACAATACAAAAGGCAATATTGAGTACCGATGGTGAGTCACAAAATATTACAAGACCACATCTCCTTATTGGTGAACTCCTGTCAAGATCATGCCTCTTGCTCTTTTCTACTTTTCCCGAGTATTGACCACTTCAATATTATAAAGTAGTATAACATTCATAATTCATCCCTTAAGTGGTTCCTTAGCCTATCTAAGGTGCCAAATCTAGTTACACTTTCCTAAGTGTAACTCCTTTTTATGATTACAATGTATGCTAATAATCTTATTTCATAAATAACATCATTATGAAGTAGATAGTACACATAGATGTATTATTATTAAAGTAATACCCTATAAATTCTTCTAAAATATATTTTATTTGCATTCAATTATTTAAAACGTGTAATGCATGCTAGATAATATTATCTACTCAAAAATAGTTAAATAAAGCAATAAGAAATGTAAATTTTCCCGTTACCTCAACCCTTTTGTACTAAAAGGGTTCTCCTTGTGCAAAAATGAGACTTGGCTTGTCCTTTAACTTCCAAACAAATTCCACCAACAATCTCTACAACATATAAGTGATCCACATCATTTATGAAAAATAGTATTAAAGAAGACTATAACTCATACTGCACAACTTGGGTCAATGAGTTATAATCCATCCCAATGGTCCATATGTTAAACTAACCATTCACATAGTATCACTTAACCATCAAAATCATGTATTAGCCACCACTAGGCTAATTTCCAAACCATACAATTTTTAATTAACCAAAAAAATTCACTTAGTGTATTACCAACTTTCATAATTAGCTCTTATAATAAAAATTAAAGCTTAATTTAAATCTTATTGGATTCAAATATTACAATTATAACTAAATAAATAGGCTCAAACCATCTAGGAGCAAGATCCAATCTATTAGGGTTTAATTTGTGCTCACTCAAAACTGCTTTCTTCATTCAATTTCTCACTCAAAACATTACAACACTATATATAAACTCAAAATAATCTTGAAAGGACCCAAAGAAACTAAAGCTTATAAGAACAAATCCTTTGAGATCAAAATCTAGAAATTCTCTCTTACAAAAATTGAAGAAAATCAAGAGGAAGGAAGAGGATTGAAGTAGGGGTTTTACTTATCGTGTAGCCGAGCTTGCAATGCTTGCAAAGCCTCTTGGATGTCCTCTCTTCCTCCTCTCTTTTCCTCCTCTCACTCTCTCATTCTCTTGTTCGTTTCTTTCCTTTTGTTTTCTTGTTTCATTTTTTTTTTTGCGTGTTGTTTTCCTCTTTAAACTAATCTTAAAACATTTTGGGAAAAATTACAAGAAAGGGTCTACCATTTTTTATTATAGCACAAAAGTCTAGGTCAACTTTAGTAATTTTTTTAATAATTAAAAATAAAATAAAATCAAACTTTTGCATAGTAAAATTCAAACTTTGACTTCTATCAAATTATTTTTAACTTTAATTTAATTAAAGATATTTTATTTTGAAATAACCTCGAGTCTTAAAAATTTCAAGATGTTACACTATTCATGATCCAAATATTAATTAGCAATTCAGAAATTTGATTAAATTAATCAATTAATCACTTAATTTATTAATTACTCTTTAATTAAAAATTAACTTTAAATTTAAAACTCAGGATGTTACAGAACTAGCAAAGAAATTAATGAAGTCAATTTTTTAATTTATATATATTAATATATTGATTTTTTAGCAATTCTCCACCATTATTTAAGGTTTTTTTTACAATAATTGTTTTTAAAATAATTTTGTAATTTAAATTATCAGAGAATAAATTATATATAATTATATTAAACTTCAATTTTTTAAAACAGATGTGCATATTTTATATATTTAATTTTTTTATACAATTAGCATAATTTTTGTCCTAATCTTCAATATGTCATACATATAACCATTTATGTTATTTATATTTTAACTTGTAGTTATTATATATATATATATATGTTTAATTTTCTTAAAGAATATATTCTCAATTTTCATATAAATAATGGATTTGTTCTATATATGAAAAGGATCTAAAATTTACAATTAAGTATCATTCTTAAAAAAAAATACTTTGTCCTATTCTATAATATGTGTGTATAAATTAATTTTTAGAATAAATTAATTTTTGGTTGAAAGAAGTCTACTCTTTGCCCTCAATACCTCGAGAGGCTATCTTTGTTATCGCTAAAACCTATTTCTCATGTTATAAAAAAAGAATAAATTGATCATTATATTGTTCTCTCTTTATGTGTGTGTGAGAGAAGAAGGATGGAGGGGTGTTAGAATTTTTTGGTACAAGGTGATTCTACCACTGAGCAATGCATGCATTTAGAAGTTTAGAGTGATTTAAATGTTGAGGATTATTTGCACAAAGCCATAGGCAAAAGTGCTTCTTTTAATCCTCTAATTTTATATAATTTACTCATCTCTTAGTAATTTTGAGTTCTTCAATGTTGGAGCATCCTTTCTTGGTCTTTATACTTTGCTCAACCTTTGATGCATACATAGTATAGATAATCTATTTTTCTGGTCCTTAACGGCCACTCTCTCTCTTCTTAAACAACCTTGTAACCAATACCATACTTACAAACCAAGTGGTCAGTCCAATTCACTCTTAACAATATGCATGATATAAATATTATAATGAAATATAATTAACTATATATATCATGCAAATTTTTTCTCAACTATTTGACATTTTTAATTCTTCCTTGTAAGCCCTTTTCCAGCCAGGAAAAATGGCTTATAAAAAATCATATATGGTATACTTATACCTATAATCACATATCGTGGTTTTTCAATTCACTCCATGTCAAGATTTATTTCCTTTGCAGCTCTCATTGTCTAGTATTCCAACTAGATATGGGTCTTGCTCACATGAAATATTCCAAGTTAAGTCACAGTGCATATATAATTTATGAAGATCAGTATGGCTTTCTATAGATTATGTACATTGATATTGATAGTATATGTAGCACTATTGCCTTGTTTATATCATGGTAGAAAAACATATATTAATGATAATTGTTTTCCTAAACTTTTTTATTTTAAGCAAAGTTTTCCTAAACTTATTATTAACTTTTAGATAAGATCTCGTTAAATCATTCCTCAAAAAGCTGGTAACTTGAACTTCCCAAACTAAATCAGTCCTATAATAATAATCAAGAGTGTTGATTTAATTTCTTCAATTTTGTGAAAGTCAAACGATTTGACCACTTCTAGTTTTTTTTATCTTATATGTTTTCATCTCTAATTACTTTCATGTAAATTAATACTATTTTCATGTTGTTGGAGCAGAGTTTTTCTCTGGATAAGGAGAGTGGAAAGAAGTGTTATATGATAGGTGCAAGAGGACTTGGGGTTCTTTGGGGACCTGATCTTAGGTATTGGAATTACCATTCTGCTCAAGAGTCCAGGTATGCTTTCAAGAGTCCAGGTATGCTTTCAAAAAAACTCATATAGCACTGGTGACACTTTAAGTTTTGTTATAGTGGGTCTATGCCAATTGGTTTACTTTTCATCAACAGGCTTCAATTTGGTCTTGTAGTTTAAATGGAAAAAAACGTTACCTTCCTTTAATTTATTAATTAGAATGATTTTATTTTGCAAAACTCACATTATTCATACAACAAGCAGCCAATCCCACTAAGTGAAATTGGTTACAAGAATCACATAATGCTAGTGTCCTTCATCAACAATTAGTACTTTAGATATATCTTTTCCCAATAAATTTCATTTGATAACCTCAGGTCTTGTTCAGTTGCTAGAAAGGAATATATTGAAAAAAATAAAAGAAAAAACTATAATGATCAAACTTTGGAGGGGAATAAGTGAACCTTATTCATAAGGGATAAGGGTAATTTTAATTTATGGGGTTGAAATCAGATTCATGAGATTTTTGGAGGATGTAATAATTTTCGTATTTGTGGTATATAGTATGAGTTTTATCTTACTTATCATGAGGGAGAAGGGTACAACAACAAGAACAAGAAGCCTTATTCCATTAGGTGGGGTAGGTTACATAGATTATATGATGTCATTGTGTTCTATCATTTATTAAGTTTTTGAAATATTGTTAATTAAAAGGTCTTACTCAACAACCTGCAAAAGTGTTCTCTTCGGTCCTCCTCTACCCTTCTTGACAGGGCTTAAAGTCATCTGTTCACTCTGCTCACAGGTGCCTCCCATGGTCTTCTTTATACATGTCCGAACCACCTCAAATGATTTTCTATTTTTCCTTTAATAGGTGCCACGCCTACTTTCTCCTATATTCGCTCATTTCAAATTTTATCTTTACATGTATATCCACACATCTATCTTAACATTCTCATATCTGCTACTCTAATTTTATGCTCTTGCTGTCCCGTCAAAGCCCAACATTCACTACCATATAAAATTGTTTGTCTTATAGCAGTTCGATAAAACTTTCCTTTAAGCTTATCAGGTACTTTATGATTGTAGATAACTCTTTTAACCTTTCTCCAATTAACCACTCGCTTGTATCCTATGTGTAATATCTCCATCAATTTTTCCATTTTTGTTGAATAATCGCTTCCAAATATCTAAACTTTTTCCACTTGAAGTATGGTATGATCACTCAATTTTACTTCCAAGTTATCACTCACTGACCCCTTATCAAAATTACAATGTAAATATTCTGTTTTAATTCTATTCAAGCGAAACCTTTTGACTCCAATGTCTTTCTCTATAACTCAAGTTTACAATTTATCTCTTCTCTTGTCTTTGTAATAAGAACTATATACATCTGCAAAAAGTATGCATTTAGAAATTTCCTCTTGAATATGCTCAGTCAAAACATCTAAGGTTAGATCAAACAAATAAGCACTCAAAGATGATCCTTGAGGCAGCCCAATCTTTATAGAAAAATCTCTTATTTCACCATCACCACCAAAGCGTTCTTATAGTAGTTGATGCCCCCTTATACATGTCTATAGGCAAACCCGGACACCTTTATTTTCCATGACTTCCAAAGTCCAAAGTATTTCTCTCAGTATACGATCATAAATTTTTTTCAAATCAATGAAAACCATATGTAAATTTTTAGCTTTCCATCAATATTTTTTCATTAATCCCCTTAGTAGATAAATCACTTCTGTAGTTGCCCTCCCTGACATGAAACCGAATTGATTTTTAGAAATACCAGTTTCTAATCTCAACTTATGCTCAATTACTCTTTTCTATAATTTTATAGTATGACTCATGAGTTTAATCCCTTTATAGTTAACACAATTATGACTATCTCCTTTATTTTATAAATAGGAAATAAGGTGCTTCTCCTCCAATTGTCTAGCATTCTCTTGATTGTAAGATCTCATTAAATAACTTAGTTAACCACTGTACCCTCTACATCCAAACATTTTCACGTTTCAATAGGGATACAATCAGGTCTATGCTCTATTATTTGCCATTTTCTTAAGAGCTTCTCTCACTTCCCAAACCTGTATTTTTCGATAAAATGACAAATTTTGCTCTCTTTCAAAGTTACTAAATCTTCCAAGTTAATTGACGAACCCCCATCATTATTGAAAAGTTTAGAGAAGTATATCTCCCATTTGTCTTTAATATTATTATCTGTGACCAAAACATTTCATCTTCATCCTTTATATACCTTACTTGTTCCAAATCTCTTGATTTTTTTTTCTTATTTTGGCAATTTTATATAAATTTTTCATTCTCCATCTTTGTCCCAAGACTATTATAAAACCCTTCAAATGCTTTAGAATGAGCTTCACTCATGGCCTTCTTAGTTTCCCTTTTAGCCATACAATATCATTTCAAATTTTCATTATTATTGCACAAATAGATGGCTTTGAAACACTCTTTGTACTTGATTTTTTCCTGCATGCTATCATTCCACCATCAAGACTCCTTATCTCTTGGACCAAAACCTCTTGATTCTTCTAAAACTTCTTTTGCGACCTTCCTTACCTTCACAGCCAAGTCTTCCCACAAGGTATTAGCACTTTCTCGAGACTCCCAAATTCCTTTGACCAAGAGATTTCTCTTGAAATTCTCTTCTTTTTACCTTTTAATTGCCACCATCTAATCATTGGAGTTATTACTTGTTGTCGATGCTTTTGGTTTTTACTCATAATACACACATCAAGGACAAGGACCCGGTGTTGTGTCGTAACAGCTTCTCAAGAATCACCTTACAATTTTTACAAAGTCTTCTATCCGCACTCCTTATCAAAAAGAAATCAATCATTTACTTTGAAGCTCTCCACTTTTATAAGTGATGAGATGCTCATCTCTCCTCTTGAAACAAGTATTAGCAATCTTGAAATCATATGCCAAAGAGAAATCAAGGATATTGTTCTTCATTATTTTGTTCCCTAAAACCCAAACCACCATGTACCCTCATATAATGATTTGCCTCCCTCCCAACATGTCCCATTAAAGTCTTTGTGTAATAAAAATCTTTTCATTATTGTATGCTTTCGATCAACCCTCCAAGTCTTTCCCAAATAACTCTTTAAGAATGGCTTCTGTCCCAACTTGAGGTGCATAAGCGCTAATAATATTGATAGTCTCTCTGTTTGATGATCATTTTTAGGGAAATAATTTGGTCTCCAATTCTGTTTACCTCTACCATTTCTTATCAACAATGATACCACCCCATTGCGTGCGTTTACTTTCTTAGTATACCAAAGATTGAAACCTTGGATATCCTTAGCTTGTTCACCCACCCCATTTAGTTTCCTACAGCACCAAGATATTAATTTTTCTTTGAATCATAACTCCTACCACCTCTATAGGCTTACAGTCAAGGTCCCAACATTCCATAACCAAGTCTGATTTTACTCACATGGACTAACTTCTTTAGCTGCGCTCGTCCAGAATAAAGCGGTAGCCCTTGCTCATTTAACAGTACATCTGGGGCATTGATGCAGCGGCCCTAACTCACTTATCATAGTACTTGAGTCATACAACATGTTACTTACGGGCAACAACCTAGCGTTAGCAAAAAAATGTCTATTATCTATATCCATGTGAGATTCAACAAAGTTTTACGTTGGCTGTTGAGAGCTTAACACAACCCCTCCCTTATCTTGGCTGGGGACCGGTTTATAACATAGGCAGAGTTAGGGAGAAGGGTAATTTAATAAATTCATTTTTATTTCAATTCTTTTAATTTATTCCATTCACATTCTTTTTGGCAACCAAATAGGAGTCATTCTTGGCCATCATCTACCTTTCTTTATAGGACTAAAGACCTTATGTTGAACCCTAGCTTATTGTCGATGCTAAGGAAAAATATTTTTTTAATATAAGTCACTAGATAATTATTCATCAAGGGATCTCTCATATGATTTTGCAATAAATTTTTCACAAACTTCATGATAAAAAAGGCTCTTTCTACCATTGTTGTGGCAGTTGGTAATATTATTGCTTACTTTAAGAGAGTATAAACTAAAGGATAAACTATATGTCTTCTTGTTTCCACTAATATTTTTGCGAGACTACCAATTCCTTTTAATGATGTAAATTCATTATTGCTTCGCATGTCAATGATTTAAGTCTCAAGTTGATTATCAAGAGTCATTAAATTAGAGGAAGATAACTCACATAGATAGAACTTGAAAAATTCAATTAACCTTTCCATATCAAAATTTTGGGTTAAATTTTTTTGGCCTTCAACTGAATATATTTAAAAACTTCTTTGGAACCTAAATATCTTTAAAGGGATGCAAAGTAGTGAAACGTATAACCCTTTTTTATAATTTTCTTGAGTCCAAGGGGTGCATTTGGCCCCTGAACTAATTGTAGTGTCGCCCATGGTGGGAGATGAAGCCCATAATGAGTTATTCCAAGGTAATTGGCAACGTAACAAGTTTGACAAGAAAGTAATTAGGTGTATTTTTGTCAGTTATATTGAAAATTGAAAAAGGCTAGCGTTGCTATGATCCTACAGCTGGAAAATGCCATCTCTTGAGGAATTTTGTATTTGATGAAGCATCAACATGGTGGACACTAGAATATGTGCCACTTCCTTATTCCAAAAAAGTAGAAGAATAATTGCAAGAAAAGTTTAAAGATAAGACAGATGAAATACAACAAAGTTATAAAAGTGTAGCAAAGTCTTCTTCATTAGAAAATCCATGGAAGACTAGTGTTTATCAAAGAACAAAGCCATATGATCACCCAGTTATAGAAATATTGGAGGATTGACCACCTATAGAGGCATCAATACTAGAATTGAGAAGATCAAGCAAGTCAAAAATCCAAAGTATGCCAATGTTTCTTTGGTAGAAGAATAAAAAGAGCCAGTATCACTTGAAAAAGTATTTTGTAACCTCTTCTAATATCTACATGATATTAGAAGAGGTTAACCTATTTACCACCTCACATCATGGAAATCAAAGAAAACATTAATTTTTTTAAATTGCTTGGGAACCCAAGACTTCTCTCTAAAACCATTTGAAATTCATCCATATCAATTAATACATAATGGATGACTAATGAATCTAGAAGTCAACTTCTTAGCTCTAATTGACATCTCAAGTCCAGTCACTAATGTAACCTTTAGAAATACGTGATCACCCGCCAGAGATTCTAACACCCGACGACATCTATTTGTATAACTCTTCTATCTATTCTGGGCTGTTAACCATTTTTGCCTTATCAACTCAATCTTCTGAGTCATCTGATCCACAATATCTGGTTCCAACATGCTCCTCTCACTCAATTATGTCTAGTATAGAGGTGATTTACATTTCCTCTCGTAAAATGCCTCACATGATGCCATTGGAATATTAGAGTGGTAACTGTTGTTGTAAGCAAATTCAGCCAAAAGAAGATGGCTGTCCCAACTACCTCTCAACTCTGGCACACAAGCTCTCAACATGTCTTTCAGATTTTGTATAGTCCGCTTCGTCTAACCATCTAAGGATGATAAGCCATACTAAATCTCAACTCAATACCAATTGCTTGTTGCAAAGCTCCCTAGAACATATATGTAAATTTTAGATCTCAATTAGAGACTATATTCTCTCAGTATACCATGTAGCCTCACAACTTCTCTAATGTAAATTTTTGCCAACTTTTCTAAGAATTTCTAATTCGAATAGCCAGAAAGTGAGCTGACTTTTGTGGTCGATCACAACTACCCAACTGGCATCATGCCCTGCCTGAGTCCTGGTAAACCAGATATGAATTCTATGGAATGCTATCCCATTTTTACTTAGGGATATCCAATTTTTTTAACATACTCGCTAGTCTTGTGCTCTATTTTAACTTTCTGATAGGTCAAACATTGAGACAAACTATATCACGTCCCTCTTGATGCCTGGCCACCACCAATGGCGCTTCATATTATACACTCTTGGATGAATAGTGTACTTACTGCAATGAGCTTCATTCAAAGTCACTTTTCTCAAATTTGCATCATTGGATACGCAAATTTTGTCCCGGTATACTACAAACACATCATCATTGAAGTAAAATCTCCTGTCCATTTCTACTCAACTTCTTCTTGAACCCGAAGAAGACACTCGTCTTCTAGTTGTGCCATCCTCAATTCCCTCCAGAACTCATTACTAATTACCATAGAATAGGCACCAACTAATGCCTCTAATGGTGCATCTTGCTACAAATCTAGGAAAGATTACATCAATCTATGCTCTTATACCATCAAACTTGCGACACGTAAAGTCTTGCTACTCAATGCATCTGCAACCATCAAACTAATGCCTTTATTGGGTATGATTTCAAAGAAAGAAGTCAAGGAAGAAATTAGTAATGAGGGGGAGTGTGTTAAATGTCATAGCAAATTTTTTCACGGTCCATTAAACTCAAAGCCAAGTGAGTAGAAAAAGTGAGAAGAAAAGAATGCATTTAATCAACAAGTAAAAGAAAAAGAAAGAAAAGTAAAAATATATTTTATAAAATATAATCAACTCGGACAGCAAGTAGAATACATTTCCTCCTCTCCAAGAAATGGGCAAGTACTTTGGGCAATGGGCAGCATTGGTGTCTTTCTTTCTTCTTGTTTTTTTTTTTTTATTTGAATAGTACCAGGATGCTTCATTTAAAACGGACAAAAAACAAAGAGCACCGCAGCAAAAACGAGAAGAGCAACTAAAAGAAACACATAAAAAGAGACCTAACAGCCACACAAAACTAAAAATCAAGTGGGAGGTCATATAGTTTAAACTCATCAGGTGGGAGCTCAGTTCCTCCATCTAGTAGAAATAGGTGTCTTTTTTTTTTAATTGAATAATATCAGGAAGCTTCATTCAAAAAGATTAAAAAAAAAAAGAGCACTACAGAAAAACGAGAAAATCAACTAAAAGAGACAAAAAAAAAAAAAAGCCCCAACAGCCACCCAAAACTAACAATCAGGTGGGAGCTCAGCTCCTCCATCTTGTATAAACAGGTGTCTTTTTTTTTTTATTGAATAATATCAGGAGGCTTCATTCAAAAATATAAAAAAAAACAAAGGCACTACAGCAAAACAAGAAAATCAACTTGAAGAAACACAAAAAAAGAACACAACAGCCACCCAGAACTAACATCAGGTGGTGGAGGTCATACAATTTAAACTCAGAAGGAAGACTATAGGCCAAATTCGCTAGGTAGTCGGCCCACCTATTACCCTCTCTACAAAAAATTAAATTCAATAGTCCATTGTCTACACAGTAATCTCCTCATAGAATCAATGATCGATACTGAAGAAAGGATGATAACAATAGTGTCTTTGGTAAGTCATTTTATAAGGAAAAATAAAAGCAAGAATGACAAGTGTAGTTTAAAGGGAGAAAAGGAGTGGTGTGAAGAGAGAAGTTTGGGTAAGGAAGTAGGAAAAAGGAGAAGACAGAAGAAGACAAAGAGAGAGGAAGAAAAAGAGAAGTGACGTGAAGGAGTGTAAGTCATTTTATAAGGAAAAATAAAGGCAAGAAAGACTAGGTGTAGTTTAAAGGGAGAAAGGAGTGGTGAAGAAGAGTAGTTTGGGTAAGGAAGTAGGAAAAAAGGAGAAGACAGAAGACAGAAGAGGAAAGAAAAAGGGGAGAGTGACGTGAAGAAGGAGTGAAAGAGAGGAAAAAGTTTGTAATTTGGTGTATTTGTAAATTGATTTAAAATTTCTTTTTCACTCAAGTCCTTCTTTTCATTTCTTTAAATGTCTTGAGCATTTTCCGCACATAGACCCTACAATGTCATCGTCTAACAATAATGTTGGATTTATTAGCGATGTTTCTAAGGAACCTCCCTTGTATATCTTTAATATTTTTAGTCATTAGAGATAATAATGTCAATAGAAAAATAATCTAAATTTTATATGGTATCATATCTTCTATCAAATTCAAAATGATCCAAAATTTGACCCACTTTAAGGAGACAAAGTCCTTCATATACCGTTATTATCAGTTATTACACTTTGGCCTTGAAAAATCATGTAGTCATATATGTGAATTGAAATAAATTATTCTCCAAACCTATTAGGCTGTTAAAGCTCAATTAGTTGGGCTGAATGATATATTTGAAACCCACACCTCCTTTTTAAGTGGACTTGCATTAGTAATATGCAGAGTATACATTTGAATCCAAAAGAGTTAAAAGTCTAGCTAGATTGAGAGATCTGAACAAATGTACTAAGAATATGATTCAACCCCACTAGAATGGGAGGAGAAATTCAAATTATTATATTAGTTTAAAGGGACAATATCAATAAAGAATTTCTGAAAGATTTTATATCTAGTAAGGACTTGGACGGATTGAATAGTTGTTAAAATATTGATTTACTTGTTGATTATTAATGTTTACTTCTTAGCTGTCTTTTTATGGTTTAATTTCTTCCAAGGTCCTTTACTGATATTCTCCCTAGTTTCTAAAGGTTTAGTATTTGGTGATATAATATTAATAATATCTTGCATGGATTTACAGATTTCCTGAAGTAGCGGAGCTCAATCAAGTGTGGTGGTTTGAGGTGAAAGGAGCTTTTAACACTAAACTCCTGTCCTCAAAAACAACATATGATGTGTTCTTCATCTTTCAATTTGGAAGCGAAATATTGGGATTCGCAGATACATTCATAAATTTTAGCCTCAATGAAAGTGGTATGTGTAAAGTCTCAAGGACAAGTAGTAGTCCTATACCCTCCAAGAATTGGTGTTAAGCAAAGAGAAGATAGGTGGCTCGAAATTAAGGTCGGAGAGTTTTACACTGAAATGAAGAAGATGATGATGGCTTACTGGAGTTTAAAATATGGAGAGTTTAATGACCATACACGAGAAAAAAGGCATTTTGGTTGAAGGATTTGAGTTTCGGCCTAAAAGACTTGAATAGAAGTAAATAGCATGCATTCCTTTTATATATGTTATAATCTTAGTGTGTTTTATTGGGTTGGAAACTTTGGAATTCATTGTGTAAACTTGATTTTCAGACCATTTTCATTTATATCAAATGTAACTTTTGGCCAGTACGTAAGCAATTTTTAACTTCAATGTGCATGTGAGATCTCTTATACTTACAAGACAAATGTGACTTGACAAGGGAAACCAAATTAAGAAACGCTTACTCATGTTTTCATGCCAAAAAAAAAAAAAAGAACTTGTCAACAAATTGATTGTGAATCCAACATAAACTTTTCCGTGTAGAAATATCCTGTGAGGATTTTTTAACATCAAGGTTTTATTTATTAATCAACTAGAGGACACTTTTGTCCTTCAATTATTTGTTCAAGAGTGTTTGGTATGATCCCCTTAATAATATTTAAAAACAGTGTAATATTATCCTAAGATTACAAATGTTAATGTTGACAATTAGTGATCAGAAATTCATAGACAAAGACCTCAAAATTATAAAGAAATACCTAAAAAATTACAAATAAATATTCTATAAAAATTTTAATACTAATTAATAAGTCTCTAAATTACAAATAAATATCAGAGATAAATATTACTTCTTACATATATAGATAACTAAAATATTGACAATCACTTTGATTGGTTACCAAGGGATTATCAAATCAGCATCATTGGCAACAGCAATGCTCAACATATGAGTATGTTTTGTACATTAATTGAGATATAAATTAAAAATAGTGACACATTATAAGTTGTTGTCAAAAATTTATAACTCCTCTTTAAAAAAATAACATATAGTGTAAAAACACATTCACTTATAAACTATTAGACGAGTCATGTAATTCTTATTTTTTTTTGAGAATTTATAATGATTGGATAACTAGGCTACCAACTGAAAAAAAATCTTGTGACGAGAAAATATGAACCAAATTTTTAAAAATTGAGGACCATGGCCAGTTCACATTAATATACAAAGGATTCATTATTAATATATAACAATATATCATTGACAAATATAATAAATCAGCCATAATGAAAAATATAATAAATGTTGGAATGGTTTACTTGGTTTGGTCCTATAATATAAGCTATATCTACAAAAGCCCTTTATAATTCTCAAAAATGACTTGTTAATTGAGTATGATGATCTGTAAATAAAATATAATATTTAAATTAATATATAATATTATATATATTTATATTAAAGTATATATATTTTAATAATATATTTTAAAGCAAATATAATATTTTTTTTAGTTGCTTATTTGTGTTGTTACCAGCAATGGTTATATGATAATCACATAGCTAGCTAGTCAAATTGGTATTTTGGTCTTTTACATGGCTAAGGAAAAACTTAGTCTCATGGAAGTTATTGGTAATTTTTGGGGATCTAATTGATATTAATTTTATCATAAGATACTTATTTTGTAATTTTTTGTGTCATTTTGGTAAATTTTGATGTATTTTTTATAAACTGTTTGGGTCAACAAATTGTTAAAGTTAACTTTTGTTAAAAAAAGTGAAAATATTAAATTGTTTTCAAATTTTGAAGGAGGAGATGATGCAAAAAATTTAAGATACTAGATATTCTTCTGTGAATAATATTTGAGGGACGTAAACATACCCTTTAACCTTAAAAATTAAAAATAAAGCAAGAACAATGAAAACAATGAAGAGAATCCTTTATTAATGGCACAATTAATATTCTAAATATTTAATGGCAAAATATCATGTTTGCATTTTTAAAAATGGTACCATGTTGCCCTCCATTAACAAATCTAGATGCTAATAGTTTGACTATGAAGTGTGTAATGTCCTCCTCCTTGACATTTCTAATCTTACCCACTATCATCAAACATATGTAATTAGAAGTCTATAAACCTCTAACTTACCATAGATCACAAATACTAAAAGTATAGAATAAATTCTTATAAAAAAATTGGGATTCCAAAAATATTTTGAAAACTATTCAAAACCATTCAAAAATATGTATTTATGCACAACAAAAAGCATTTAGGAATGCATAAATACCTATACTGCAAAACAAGGGTCAAATTGTCAATTTTGCCAAAATGGACCATATGCCGTAGCATGTGCACCATGCATTGTGGTGCACATTACAGGATTTGCATCAGGACAGTTCGTTTGAGATGAATTTTTGGCACCATATATGGTATGATTGGAATGAATTCAAGTGCCTAAAGAAGGCTTATTTCATAATATACCTAATGATATAGGTTTCAACCCAATCATCTTTCTTTTGAAAATTAGACACCCATATGCAAATGATGATTTAATGTCATTTCTACTCACCTGAGTGTTCTAAATCCAAATCGTGTGTCATTAGCCCTTCTAGGCCTTGACTGTAACATCCCAAATTTTTAATACTAATGCTAGATGCTAGATGTTAATTTAGGGGTAAATTGGTAATTATTTGGTTGATTGAATAATTAGAATTTTGAATGGTGAGTTGATATTTGGGTTTGTTTAGATGTTGAATGAATAAGATCAAGTGAAAGAATGGCAATTCGGCATGAAATATGTGACCTGCAGTGGGAAGTTTTTCACTGTGCCATGTGATGTGGTATATGCTACGTGTGTATCATGGCACATAGCACAGAAAATGGATAAGTATGCGCGTGATCTGGCATTAAAATCAGAAAGAGGGGGAGAGGAAAATGTGAAGGGAGAAGCATAAGGAGGGATCCACTGCTAGGGTTAAGAGATCTCGGGACCAAGAGTTAGTTTTGATTAGTCGCTTGCCAGGTAAGTTTTGTACCAACCCTAAGCTCCCATTCTACACTAATTTCTCTTAGTTTGAGAGATAGAAAATTAAGTTAGGGAGTTGTTTAGGGCTTTGTTTTCTTACCGTAAAGTATTAAGAAGGTTGTCAGAGGTTAAGCTAAGGTTTTGTGACTAGTCTAGTGATTTTTAGTTGAGCTATGAGGTTTATAGGCTCGATTTAACCTAAATTGTGAGGTTTAATAAGGTGAAAATGTTTGTGTGGATGGTGGAAGAGCTATAAAAGTAAAAAAATGTTTAAAGAGAATAAGTGGATGTGATTGAGTTATTAACTAGATTAACTATAATAATTAACATTTATGGTCAAAGTAGTAATTGACATATAGTGATAAATTGTGTAGATAGTGTGGCTTGAGTGTGTGACTGAGCACAAGGGAAGCTAATAGAGTAAAGAGTACCATGGGTAACTCTTTCTAATAATAGAAGGGTTGAGGGTAATTGAATAATTCATTCTATCTATTATTTAGATTAATTATTTATAATTAACTGTGTTTGATATGATGCATAAAATTTATAAATATTGGCATAATGTAAACATGCATATTTGAAGTTTTGAAAAGGGTTCTATTTGGAAAGTAAATCATTGTGAATGTTTATTTAAAAGTAAAACTATTGATATATATATATATATATATATCTGTGTGAAAAGAAATTGCATATTTTTAATTCATTTATATTAGAGGGGTATGAGTTCACCCAATGTTGAAGAGCTAGGTGTGAAAAATTCATATAGATTAGCTGACACTGGGGGACCCACGATGCAACCAATTTAGGGGACTATTCCATGAAAAATTCAAGCAGTCTAGCAACTTCTAGTGCCTGTAAAGGTGCGGATAAGAGTCAATGACACTCCTAGTGTATTTGAAGGGGGAATTCATAGTCCTGAAGTAGGTTAGAACACCTCTTAGCTTTGTGATTCACCTACAAAAGGTGGGTGAGGGACTAATTTCTTGAGAAATAGTCAGAGTCACCTATAAATTCAGTTGGAATGTATGGAGGATAGATGGACTTAGGATGGTCATATGTGTGTGAATAATGATTTGGTAAAACTAGTTATGTATATGCTATTTGCACCCTGTGATTATATTTTTATAGGTTTTGAGTTTGGTAGCTACAGAAGGGAAGAACTAGGCTAAGAGTAGTGAGCTTATTATCACCCTAGATTATTGTGTAAGGAATTACTAGTTTGTAAATATATACTTATGTTTATAAGTTACCTTAGGAATACATACATATATGTGATATTGATGCTCTTGTGTGTGGTGTCTTAGACTTAGAATGACCATGAGTGGTGATGTGGAATTTGGCCATATGTGATATAATGTACAAAAATAGCCCTGTGTGTGCAAAAAAGGGCATTTTTATGGTAAAATTATGCTATCAAAACAAAATCGTTTTGATGTGAACTTTGGACGTGCGCGTTTCGATGTTTGATTAAGGTGATTAAAGTACCCACACAAATCTTGTTTTAAAATCTAACAATAACACTGGTTTCATTTAAATATGATAACTCATTTAAAAGTTAGACACCCAAGTACATTTTGATTAGTTTAAGTTTAAATCTTTTACTTGAGCATCACCTTTTGAAATTGTAAGTCATTGGCCATTTTTAGGGCCTTGATCACATCTAATGGAACAATTTACATCTGATTGACCATCCATATGCATATTTTCATACACACATATAAGTTAGCTCGTAAACCACCCATTTTGCGCACATTTGGGCATAATTGTAATATTTCACATAATTTCATACAATTGGCCAATCTTGTCACATTCATCATACTTCATTCAATCCACATACTCATAATCAATCTCCTAGCCTATATCATCACTTTCACTTCAAACACACTTATATACACCATATAGGTTGGATACAACATCATGCTCACATTCGCAATCAAAATATTTATGCATAATTATATACTCATATGGCAACTTACATATAGATATACAACTTATATAATACAAGTTCATTATACCAACTTCTTATAATAGGCAATTAGAGAGAGATATCCTCTAGTCTTTACAAGTATCTTTCCTTTTGGCACCACTAACATCAGAACCTGTAAAATATAAATAACCATGGATGAGATAACAATCTCAGTAACCCAAATAGTTCATTAAATGCTCATTAACATAAATAACCACATATAAGTAAACAAAACCACAGTAATAATTCATATCTCAAATATAAACATAATTTTCCTCTTTCTAAATGTTTTTTACACAATCACAACTACTAGCATAATTATCTATCCACGAATCCTTCATAGCTCCCTGACTTGAAACCATAGGCTCTAATGGATCA